TCAAGAACTCAAGATCATGCCCAAATCCCACAGTCGCATCCATTCGTATCACAAAACCATACAGGAAAAAAAAAAAAATCATACCCAAAATTTCATGTTAAAAAAAAAAGCAACCACTCGGCTGGTAGGCAGCCGCCCGACAACATGTCCAGTCCTGGTTCCATTGCAGCTCAGTCCCAGGGAAAGGGTACAACAGATCGAATCTCTGTCTGCAGCGGCAGGGCCTGGCAAGAAGAATCAAATCATGTGGGAGACAGAGGCATAAGCACAAAAGGGAGGCCAATGTCAGGAACCCCCTCTTCTTCGATCCTGTCGGATGCGGAAACACTGCTGCATCACTTGAGCGCCAAGATCTTGGGACGTGAACAGTGTCGCGTGAGAGAGAGAGAGTCGACGGTGCTGGGCACCATAGCTGGAAGCTCGGCATAGAGAGAGAGAGAGAGAGAGAGAGCAGCAGCAAGGACATTCAGGGAGTGATCGCCAGACCTGGGCGCACTAGTCAGCAGTAGATATCAGGGTTGTGGACCCCCCCAACCCCGCAAAACGTTTGCAAAAAACAAAAAATATATATATATATATATTGTCACATAACTATGAACTAAAAGAGCCCAATTTGCGAAACAAACGGCAAAAAAAAAAAAAAAAAAAAAAAAACAAGCATGAAGGGCACAGTGAAACCATTCATTTTACTCATTCTTCTTTTGACTCCCCTTTCACCGTGACTCTCACGTACAAGGCTCGCCACGTTGATGAAGTTGAGCGCGAGCTGCCCCTATCCCCGTGTGCCATAACAGCCCACTTGTACGCTGTGAGAACGAGGCAGAGTGAAGGGGGAGGGGATAAACACAGGGAGGAGAGATGGAGAGCAGACAAACAAAGAACGATAAAGTGAAAGTATGGAGTGTGGAGTGAAGATGAAGGCAAAAGAGGATAAGAAAAGGCTCAAGAATGAGTCTGTCCTTGACGACAGAGAGGACATACATTGTAAGGATGACACGGATGAACACATGGAAGACCTAGCTGAGCATTCTCAGTGCAACAATTGCCACGACGGGTGGCATTGAGCATGCCCGCCATACACCCCCGACAAATGGCATATCGATTGCAGGCCAAAATGAAAGAAGAACGGTCACCACAAAAGCGCATGCATTCAGTATAGCGCCCATGGCCGCAAAATGGACATATAGTGTCCGGATGCAGAGGGTGCCTGCAGTCAGGAACGGTGGAACAGTCCTCTGCACACATGGATGCAGAAACCATGTCATTGTAGTGATTGTGACAGAGACGATGGCGGCTACAGCCGAGTGTAACAGTGTTTGTGGTTGTGCACAGGAGGAGGTCGCAGAGTGTTGGTGCATTGTCTTGCTGCAGCACGGGGCCAGAGGAATGATCTTTGACATAAAAGAGATTGCGGACAGTTTGTTGTGGCAAGAAAACCACATCATTTTGTAAGAAATCAGTGACATCAATCATGGCATGGACCATGGTGCCGTTGTCCCACAGCTCCCAGTGGTCAGAGGCATGTACAATGGCCATGTAATGGCCAGGGCCGTGCACAATGCAGGCAGAGATGTGGGATGGAGGATTAAACCACTCACCTTCTCGAGCATTGCGTAGTTCAAGTTGACGGTCCCTCATTGCTACTTGTAGGACAGCAATGGTAAAGCCTTCTTCGCTGGTATAATTGCAATCCTCTGGCTGTCGTTGGGGAAGATCAGCATCAAGCTGAAGGGCGATTGCAAGGAAGTCTGATGGTGTATAAAACGGGCGATGGAGAATGTGAAGACAGATATTAGTGGCTGTCAAACCACAGAGATTGGTGAGGTTCTCAGGCTGGTTTGTTGGATGCTGGCCAACAATTTGCAGATCACCCAGATGGTGTTGCAAGCCCAAACTGTGTTGGGTTGGTTGCTTGGTCAGTCATTTGCAGACCGCCCATGTGGTCTGCGTGTGGCAGAGCACAAAATTGTGTTTCATCCGCACAATGCTGGTCAGCAATTTGCAGATCCCCCATATGGCCTACGCCTTGTGGGGTCAACTGCGATCCAGGCAGATCATGTTCCAATCCCTCAACGTTTAGGGCTGCATCCTGAGTAGGGACTATACCTGGAGTCGGGAGTGTACTCTGGGCAGCGGCTGCATCCTGAGTAGGGACTGGTGGCTGCCTGCAGGCAGATGGACTGTCTGCAGGAGTCATAGGAGTGGATATTGCCGTTTGAAACGAAGGAACCGCAACAACCTATGGAGGAGGCACAGAGAGAATGGGGGCAGACAAAGAAATAGGTTGCTGATCCCCGAACAAGTGACGATGCCGCGATAGTAGTGGTGTTGCAAATAGAAGCTGAACTCGTACCTAGCCACGCAGGTGGAACAATGGGGACAATGGAAACTGGAGAGTCTGTTCGCAAGCGAGACCGTGGAGGAGATGGGGATGGTCAGGAGGAACGCAGTCGTCTATGGCCAAGCACAAACAAAGATGAGAGGGGGGTGCATTGGGCAAGATTTCGAAGCAAAGGACGTGGACGTCGGAGAGATTGTGATGTTCTTTGCATTGGAGCTGCAGGACAGGATGCTGTAGCAGTAAAAACTAAAGTAGGAGGGATTACAATTAGGGAAACTGATGTACTGAAAACTGCAGCAGTGGAAACCGCAACAGTAGAAACTGCAGCAGCGGAAACTGAAGCAGTGGAAACTGGAGCAATGGAAACTGCAGCAGTGGACACTGCAGCAGCGGAAACTGGAGCAGTGGAAACTGCAGTAGTGGACACTGCAGCAGTGGAAACTGCAACCGTGGACACTGCAGTGTTTCATCTCTCTACCCATTTGGACAGTCCCACTTATACTTGTCCTCAAGAGTCCGTTGCTGATGTCCTTGACCACCATGCAGTGTGGAATCACCATTGGGGTTACACCCACACTGATAACCCTACCTTACCTTTACTATGTACTCAAAGCTCACAAGTCTCCTCCAGCTTTTCGCAGCATTCTTGGAGTCACAGCACAAAATAATAGTGCTGTTCCCCCGCGTGCTCGTCCTCGTCCAACAATTCGCATCAGTCATGAACAGCCTCCTCACAAACCCTTGGCTAGCACAATGACTACTTCGTCGTATCTCAGCCTTGCTTTGCAAGTAGTGATCTCTGCTCTTCGCGAGAAAGACACTGAGCTCTCGCACACATTTACACTGCGTTGCCCTCAACATGGTTATTCAAGGACCTAGTTGTGGCCGATGGACAACTGATTCAGGCCCGGATACACTTTCCGTTTCTCAGATTCTCCAACATCTTCGCTTTGTTGTACAAAACACTTTTCTATACACGAGAGATGGTACACGAGAGATGGCACGCTTCGGAAACAAATTATCGGTATTCCAATGGGAATGAATGCTGGCCCATAAATTTCTAATCTAACGCTGTATTGGGATGAAGCACGCTTTGTTGATGACATTCGTCAACATGATTTCAAGCTGCTCAACAATATGCCTTCACCTATCGCCTCATTGACGATGTTCTTTCATGGGGACATTTATCTCCTCCACCAGAACACTATGGGCTGGAGTGGAAGGAGACTACAGCAACAGATGGATCCTGTACCTTTTTAGGCGTGCAGCTACAGGTCCGTTCCAATGGCTCGCTTCGCATGAGCGTCTTTGATAAAGCGGCTGCTTGGGATTTCCCTGTCATTCGTTATCCAAGTGCGACCTCCAACATTCCTTCCCATCAACCGGGCTGGTGTGTTAGAGAGAGAGAGAGAGAGAGAGAGAGAGAGAGAGAGA